TTAGATATTATATATATATATATATATATATATATCATATACATGTTTACCGATGGTGAAGGTTCACCGCCCCATCCTACATTGGATTGGACTTAGGTGACAAAATATTGGGTCCAAGCCCAACCCAATGTATCCCAAGCATTGCGGTTTTGCAGACATCATGTTTGAAGAAATATTCGGATAGTTTTGAATCCCAACATTCCTTTTTTTTTATGATATGTAATTAAATATATATTTTTAAATTAAAATACATATTGTGTAGATATGAGAATAAAAATCTGAGAGGTAATTAGGATTATCATTACGACATGAAAGATTTATATTCTACAACCAATATAAATCAACTTAGTACCATCAATCCAATTATTACATTCTTTTGCTTTTTATTCGAGCTAGAGATGCCTTCTGACACGCAATAAATCAACTCAAGAATGCAATATCAGAATAAAAAAACAGAGGTAATTTATATTTTCATTTTTTTTTCAAAATTCTAAAGTCACGAACACAAAGGAGGTTTTGACACGAGCAAGAGTTGTATAAGAGTGTTAGGATGAAGAATGGAGATGGTGGATGGTGATGAAGGAAAGCACTATTGTGATGCTCACCTATAAAGGCTATAAAAAAGTGTGTATTGTGATGAGGGTGTGTACCTACTAATGTAATTACCACTTTCTATATGTGATTATTTTTCATAGATTTTAAAATGTTTTTAAATGAAAATTTTAGATAACTTTTTTATAAAAAAATTTAACACTTTGATGTGAAATATTTTACTTAAATGAAAAGTTTACAAATAATTTACATTCAAACATTTCTAAAATTATTTAAAATACTATAATTTTAAATTCTTATGAAAAAGTAAGAATTTGAAATTCTTCTTTCTCTTTTTTTTTCTATCTCCATCTTTTTCTCTTTTAAAGTTACATAAAAAAATACTAATATTTTTAATTACTAAATATTTTAAAAAAATTATTAAATATTTAAAAATAACTAATATTTAATTTTATAAAATTAATCTTTATATATTAAACACAAACCTCCATTTTGTGGGAGAGCATTTTTGGGAACTTTTCTTCAATGAAAGGATTTTAGGAATTTTTTAACAGCTTATTGTATTCAATTTTTTATTTATCATAATTATTTAGATTTAAATATATTTTTAGTCTCTCAAATTTAAAGTAAATTTGTTTTTAGTCTTGTAATTTTTAAAAACTTTATTTTAGTCTTTATATTCAAATTTTATTAAAAAATATGTCAAATATTATTGCATAAAATTTACCTACTAGTATCTTTATTAGTAAAAGTATCACATTAAATTCAACTAATGTCTAATAATATATAATTGTCTCAATTTGTCACTTTTAGATATGTTATTAGTGACTTGAGGAACTAAAACAAGATTTTTAAAAATTACTAGACTAAAAAATAAATTTAAATTTAAAAAATTAAAAATATATTTAATTCAATTATTTATTAATTAAATTTTAACATTGTAAAATAAATTATTAATAAATAAAAATAATATTATACTGCAATGTAAATTATTTATTATAAATCTAAAAATATAATTTATATATTGTTGTAAAAAAATATACAATTTATATATTTAATATATATTGTATGATTACATATTCGAGGGTGATTTTAAACTGTATTTATTAACTTCATTTTAACACAACTGCACAAACAGAGAGAAACAAGTTTTCTGTATTTTTTAATGTTAGATGTGTTTCGTTTGGTACTTTTCAGCATTGCAAGCTTATTAATATATATCCATATTCATCAGCCCTGAAAAAAGGTCTGAGTTTTAAGATATTTTATGGTAAAATATCTTCAATTTGTTGATTGGCTTTAACAGAAACTATTTCATAAACTTAAGGTAAAGGTATTAGATGAGTCACATCGTCAATTAATGCATATTATCACAATGAATTAACATTAATTATATATCATAATTAATTATGTGGTGATTTTAGTTTCAATGGTTGCTTGACATGACTGTGTGACATAAAATGTATTTTTTGAAACTAAGTTTGGGAATATAATAAAGCAGAAGAAGAAAAATTGATTAGGAATGGTGGCATAATTAAGATAAAAGATTGTGGCAGCAGAAGCTGAAAACACTTATGGGATATGATTAGACAAACCAACCTCTTGCTCTTGGGAGACAATCCCACCTGCAGATGAGATGGAAATCATGAATTTTTAAGAAACGGTGTTATACAAATGGTAGGCAAAAAATTGACTCATACCTCGTGTGCATTCTTAGTCTTTGCCAAACTTTGATATGTCTCAATCTTGTCAAATTCATGGTCAAACTCAACTGATTTTAACCAATGTGAGTTTAAATTCGAATTTAGATTATACAATACACAAATTTACAAGTATAGATTATTATTTGTGTTCCACGTGCTTATTCGTCATTACATCTTTGTTTAAACTTATTTATCTAGTTAAATAACTTTAAGTTAAATTCAAAATTTATAGACACGGGCACGTTTGTTAAAATCACTTAATTAAAATATTTTGATAAATTATTATTATAAGAATTTATATTATAAAAATTTAAAGAATTATTTACACACACACACATATATATATATATATATATATATATATATATATATATATATTAATAAATACTAACATAATTTATAAGTATTTAAATATATTATTACATAAAAACTTGTGAAATGTTGTCTCATTTAAAAAAAAATCATTATTATAAATAAATAAAAACATAATTATATTATTGATATGAATTATTCACCAATTTTATCAATGACTAATCTCTATCAAAAAATTTAATTAGTCATATTTAGTGTGCTCTCTATCCAACCACTTTTTTTTATACATAATACTCAAATTAATGTATAAATTATAATATAAAGGATAATATATATATATATATATATATTATGAAAAAAAATTAAATATATAATATACTTTTAAATATAAATTATAATATTTTTTATCAATAAAATGGTAGACAAAAAATAACACCATATGACTACAAAGAATAAAACTAATGAAATGTTAGAAATTCTCATAACATTAGTTACCGTCGAATATATAACCTTGTTTCAACATATTAACTCGTTTTTAGAAATAAAAAAGGTATCTCTAATTGGAATTCCACAATGAAAATAATTGAATCCCGTTCATTACCACAAATATCTAGTAACTTATTGTAATAACAATATTAAATTTTTTAAACCACTACCATTATACTATTGGCACGCATTTCGATTAGAATATGTGGAATATGATTCTCCAAGATTTAGAGGTCCATTTATTCTCTTTCTCATCATGTTAATTCTATGGTATATTGACCTATATATATATAGGAGGATACCTAAATAGCTGCGCATGGCCAAAAAAACAAAAGGCAACAGTAAATAGCTTATAATAGCTGCGAACAAGCTGTTTGCCATTAATTGTTTTGGATGATGTTTTTGTGTTTGATTCCTCTTTCTTGTTGCTACTCCCACTTTGCTGGAAATACATGCACATATCAATGGTTCAATGAACCAGCGTCTGATTATTCAATATTCAGTGCCCTTTCCTTTTTTTTCCTGAATTATCATTTCACCTAACACTTGGACTTGGACTGTTTTATTCGGACACCTTTATGGAATATTTATCAAAACCCAAAAACCATGCTTAAGGGAAAACATTTGATACCCACATCTTTTTTCTTCTCAAGGTTATATAATTTTCAGTTTTTACGTTCAAGAGATTGATTAAGCCATTTCACACACTGTGAAAATGGTATATTTAGTGAAAAATTAATGTTCAATTATAATCAGATTACCATGAATACGATTAGTCTATAATTTAATGAGCTAAAATATATTAGGTATAAGACAAAATAAAAATACCAACACACATATATATATATATGTGGCACTTATCTATGCTTCTTTAATATGTAATCATTCATTCTTTAGCTCTATATATGTGTATAAACGTTTGCTTGCAATTGAAATTGTGATAATTATCAAAATGCCGAGTCTCCTAAAATTAACGATAGCATTAAACTTTATATTATAATTAACTTAAATTCTCTCCGGTTTAACTCACAGTAGGTAATGTGATCACGTGGAGTGGCTTATTTACTTCACTTATTTTCTTGTTGACAAGG